CACTGTTAGGAAACTGTGGTCTTAGAATATGGTTTGTATGTCTCCAGAAAAACAATAAATTTGAGTACTTTTTTCCCCCCAAAGTCCAACTTCTCAATAACTGAATAAATCTGTTTTCTGGTGTCATTATTTGAGTGTTCAGTGGAGAAGTGGTCACCTAACTTTTGGTGTTACTAAGTACTTTGAAGAAAAAAAATGAAGGCATAACAAGCTTTTAGAAAGGAGGTCTACCTTAAGGTTAGAGTGAAACATACCCAGGAGCTTGGAGGATGAAGATAAAGGAAAAAATTGCTTCCTGACTAAAATAAAATGGTTCACAAACCGTTACCATTCTTTCCACTTCTCACTCTAGTGTTTAAGCGCTATGTGAATATTAAATTCTGCTAATTATAAGATTAGAGGAGTTTATATTGATTATTAGCAAATAATGTTGCTCCCATCTTGAGTGACCTACAGTAAATGCTGTTGCTGAGAATTGAATTCAGTTGGTGAAACAATTATAAGGAACTCTAAAAACTCCAGATGGCTCTGAAGTGTGTCCTGCCACGGAATTATCTTTCGTTCTCAGTAGCTCTTATTCAAGGGTCCCAGTGGTTTGGCATGGATCAGGCTAAGGTGGTGTAACAAGTGGAGGCTGTCTCGTAATTAGCGTCTTGGGCTGTAATGACCCAGAGCTCAGGAGCTGAGCTCCAGCCAAACAAAACATGAAGCAGATGCCAAGAGAGGGGGTTCATGGAAGAGTCCAGGTCATTGGGTAAGGATGGTGGCTTCTGAAGGTTTCAAAGCAAATACCAACTAGACATCTTTACAATGGAGGGATAACGGTAGCAAGATGACATTCAAAACTGTCTGGAACTGGGGACGGGGGTCTCTCAGAGCATACTGCTACATTCTTAAAGACATCACATGTGATACCATAATGGGCTACGGAATATAAATTTTTCACCAGGAGCTCCTGAAACTGTCATTTGCTCATGCATCACTTTATCTTTGCTGAGGAAATTCCATACTTTCATTAGTTAGTCCTAGGCCTTATGCTTCTTTCACAAAAGCGAAAGTGAAAGTTTGAAGAGATTAAATGAGTTGACTATGGTCACAGAGTGTAAAGACACAGCACTGAGTGAACGGTATGCTGCCACTTGATGCACATGCATCAAATATCTCTGAGAAGATACAAAAAATAATCCACTAACTGTGGTCGCCACCAGAGAGGGGAACTTGTACCTTTTACGTTTTGTCCTCTGTGCACGCATCACCTATCCCCCTAAACATTTAACATAACAAAAAGCTCTCACAAAATGTAAGTGGGTTCTGTCCCACTTCTATCTCTCCCTCTACAAAGGAGGCCGGGACAGCCCCAGCAGAGACCCGGTGGCCTGTGGCCACTCAGAATCTTAGACGTGTTGGCAGGGGTGGTGGGAAGATTACACAAAGTCTCCACTGTCGGGGGCAAGCCTGTGAGGTGTTCTGGCAATATAGGGGATACCAGGACAAGGTAAATGGCATCATGAGAAAAGAGCCAGACAAATGCAAAACAAAGGACATTCTACAAACAACTGATCTTGACCCTCAAGAGACTGACCATCACGGAAAGCAAAACAATGGTGGCCGGGGTGATGGCTGCTCAGATTAAAAGGGCTAACGAGACATCCAAAAATAAGGTATCTTTGATGGGACCCTGGATGGTGGGGGTGGGGGACAATTAGAAAAAGACACTTTTGGGGTAGTTGGGAAAAGTGAATTTGTGTTAGATATTAGAAGATATTATGAAATTATTGATAATTTCCTTAGATGTGATAATGGTATTGAAATTTATTAAAGAAAGTCCTCAGTCTTAGGAGAAGCCTAATAAAGGGTTCAGAGGTAAAGCATTATAGTGTTTATAATTTTTTTTACAAATGATTTGGGTTGCGGGGGAGGGTATGTATTTAGAGTGAAATATAAAGCAAATGAAGAAAAATATTAACAATTGACAAATCTAAGTGAAAGCATATAGGTGTTCATTGTACTCTTTTTTCAACTTTTTTGTAGGTTTAAATTTTTTCAAAATAAAGAAGTTGGGAAATAACGGGGAAGTTTAAAAACAAAACAAAATAACAAAAAAAAAAGCAGGAAAACAAACAAACAGAAGAGTCCTGGGCTCCATCTTATTCTGTCTCCAACTAGCCTTCCAGCTTTGGGAAAAGTCCTTACTGTTTCTGGGTCTTGGTTTCCTGTCCGAGGAACGAGGAAACTGGAGTAAGTGACCGGTGACCCCAGGTCTGAAGTCTACGGACCCGATGAAGAATTTGCAGGAACAGGACACAAGTCTGCCTTCCCTGTCCTGTCCCTCCCCCACCCCTCCAGACACTGGCCTCAGAACCACGTTTCCTCAAAGAGCTTGTTTTGTGGTCTTGAGGTGTTTCCTTTTGTTGGAAAGATTTCAATGCACTGGTTTCATAAGACTTTCTATGCTCTTCAAAAAAAGTTCTAAAGGAACTGTAGTGAATGGAAGGAGTACATTTATACAAGAAAATGCACAAAACCAGAACCATGAAAGTACTGGCTGCTAAAAACCTAATAGCATATATATATAAAAAAAAATGATAAAGCTACTTTAAGTCATGAAAAAGTTTTTTTTTCTTGGTGTCTTGCTATAATTTCTTGCTATAAATATATGACTCAATTTGTCATCATCTATTACTATGGTGATCAATATATCTGAGGTTTTACTTATAAAGACTGAGGAAATTCTTTACACTGTTGTGACGACTGAAGAAACTCAGCAGGAAACTCTGTACCTAGTAGGTGCTCAATTATTGTTTGTAATTTTAGAGATATCCAGCACCTCGTGTGGCAATCATTTGGTTTGTAATTGTCAATTAGAAACAAAACAAAACAACGTCTCGTGGACTGCTCATTTCCTTGATGCTTCCTTGTGATCTGACATGTTCAGTTTCATTCATAGTTCTTCCAGACTACAGACGTTTAACAGTGAGAACTGCCCAAATATGGATCTCTCTACCCAATCCGCTGCGTGAGATGGAATGAAACATTCACCATGCTCTGTGATCCTCACACCACCTACCTACCTGCAGGCTATCGGGATGGCTCCGGATTTGCTATGTCACCTTCCGCCCTTCGTCTAATCCTTTACCGGGTCTGGGTTCCGGTCGGGACAGCTGTGTCATCCAGTTTCTTGATTAACTCCTAATCAATCTATCTAAAAACCTAGAACTGGTTTCACATGTCAGAGCAGCTCTGCTCTCAAAGGCATAGAAATCCTCTTTCTCACTGGAAATTTTATTCTAGATAACGAGTATGCCAATTTCATGTTTGTCACGGTCTACAACGGATGAAAATCTCTATATAACTCCAAGGAGGCTGCTGAGGAACACTGACTTTCAAGATCCACAAAAGAGGTTGGGTGTGCCGATCCAAACCTAACGGAACCCAAAGATGTTAAAACACGAGGTGGGATTTATGCTGATGTGATGATGTCGCACCATCCACTCGTTATCAGCGGTGCAAGATATATATACCACCTTATACTAGAAAGAATCTAAAATACTTTAAAATGAACATTTTCTATAAACCCATAAAGCAAGAAAAAGTAAAAATTAACAATCAAGAAAAACGTGCATCGGAAGGGAAGGAAGGTGAAGGGGAGGAAAAAAGCTGAACCCTAGGCTGTAGCTGGAAGATATAACTAAGTCATCATGGCTGGTCTTCGATTTTAGCTCCGAGCTTCCCGGCAACAAAAACCAAGAGGGAATCTTGAAGAGTTCCCTAGTTTTCGCTAATCATGAGGGGAAACACATTCCAGTTCTTTACGGGAAGCGAAGCTACTCCCCGCAGTGCAAGTCCGTGTCCTGTTTGCATCTGTGTCCTGCGTTTGTGCAGGGCGTGGGCAGCCCTCAGCATTCACGACTCAAGCTGCCCTGTTCCTACCGTTTAATTCTAAAAGGAATCTCTCATGCAGAGCATCATACAAGGGACCCCGGGGGCCTCAGACATCACCAATGGGCCTGAGGTAAACGAGGGGATGGGTTTCAGCAACCTGTGTCTTGCTGTACACACCGTAACACACAGGCACGACTCAGGACAGCCATCCTGAAGGGTAGGTGGGACGTGGAGCCAAATAATGGTGTAAACTCGCCTGTTTCTGAAGGATGCGTTTGACCCCGAGTCCAACCTAGACCATCTATGGACAGACTGCGCACCCTTCACACGTCTGCACACACACCATTGCTTTCAGCTCAGTCTCCAACAAGAATTACACAGCATGCGACTGTACTCAACGTTATTTGCTCTGGAAAGGGCAGAAGTGCAGCCGCTCTCTACGGCTCAGAGTGGATCGACGGGCTCATCGTGGGCCATCACAGAGCGACAGGGGCCCCGTCTCCACGCTTAGACCTCTGAAGCCAAGTGGGTGAGAGCAGGGTGGAAACAGTTTCCGTGGAGGCTGCGTTTCTCCCGGAGCTGCCACCTTCACCGTTGGCGGTGGAGTCGTCTATTCCTGTGTATTCCTCGCTTGCCCTGGGGACAGGCGGAGCAGTGCTGAGGACAGCACACTCTGAAGGAGTACTCAAACCTCGGGAGGCCGCCTGGTGGGCCATGGGGCAAGAATGCGGGTGGTGGGGGGGGGCTGGGATGAGGATGGCGGCTCTGAGGAATCTGGGGAGGAGACCCGTGGTGCTTCTAAGTTTCTAAGTGCCTGTTTTACTCTTTCCTCCCTGAAGCTTACGACTAACATCACACAGCTTGTAAAGTTCGGTGCTTTGTTCTGCAGTCACTGGTCCTTTAAGTGATGGTATTATCATTTTCTGATTATTAGAGCAGAGAAAGCCAGGGGCTCCCTTTCTCTATGCTGACACACGAGCTGATGAGAAGATGAAGACTTCTACCCGCCCCGGCTGGCACCTGCATCCACCCACCCGACATCCAGCCCTAACCTGGGGCCGGCTCTGGGGCTGACGTGGCCAGTGATGCCTGTCAGCAGCCTCAGCCCATGCCATTACCTTGAACTTCTCTTCGTAGTTCTCGAAGGCTTCCATAACCATGCACACCGCCTGCATGGAGCGTTCCAGCCGGCCGTCCACCCCGTTGAAACGGTACATGCTGCCGGACACATCCACTACCAGGCGCAGGCGCTTGGGTTTCTGTTGGGGGCTGCCCAGCTGAGGGGGCGAACAACAGAAATGCCTTGTGAACCACCATGCCATCAGTGGCTGCTGCCCTGGGGGTCGCACACAGGCCCCGGGGTGCCAGCATGAGGCAGGCAGGATAGCCGCAGGCGCGGGGCTGCACGACGCTGTCCCGGTGGGTGGAAAGGCGTCTGGGAACCCTATTTCAGTAAATAGAATTTCAGACTCGTGCTGGTAGTCGGGGCCATATGGGAAAGATTTCCCTCTGCAATGTGGTCCTTTTAAGACCCAACCTAGTCTAGTAAAACTGCCTCCCTGAGCTGATGCCATCTTAAAAACAATAATCTGGAAAGATGTAAACCCCGACATGTCATTTTTCATGTCATGCATCGGAGTCAGTTACTCTAGCCTGACTGAGTTATTCTGGAGGCCCACATGAATTTGACCTGTGCCTGTTGTGTGGTGCTCGAAAATCATTGTTCTACAGAGTCCACAGGCAATGGCCGATTCCTAAAACAAGGTACCGTGAGAAGGGGATCTGGCAAAGAACCGAAGGAAACTACTTCCTCAGTGACTCTGTCTTTAGTTAGCTTTCAGTTTTCTCTTCCTTCCAATCGCTGAATTACTACTTCTCTTTACTTTTCTTGGCAGTGAGAGGCATGAAAGGAGCGTCAAACTGCTGTTTACAACAAGTGTCAATTAAAATGTGAAACTCTCATGAGTTTCAGTTTGATTTGGGACTCATGCCTGCCTGTTTGCAGTAAAAAACAAAGTCCATTTGTCAGGGTACTTACAGGAAAAATGGAAGAAGAAAAATTCCAGGCTCTTCTGTTATTATATACTTGCTGACATGTATGAGAACTCATGAGCAGCTAGTAATTTCAAGAAAATACTGTGGGTATCAGTGCAACGGTTTGAGACCAATTCAATATATTTCTTAAAAACTTGTGGAGTCTGCCTAAATTAAGAACAGTGCCACATATGCCTCCCTGGCGACTCACAATTTCGGATGTATCTAAACACACTTGTCGACCACAATGAGTCAGTAAAGAAAGCAGTTGTGACTCATACCAATGACACAGAAGTCAGAACTCCCCAAATGACCACAGGGTCCTCTCCGAATAGACATTTAAATGGAGTAAATGACTCCCTCTCCCCACCAGGCACCGCCTCACCTCGCGGGGGCTGCTCAGAAATGCTGGCTATTTGGGGATACAGGAAGTTACAGAGCCTTCCACGAGACTCAGTAGTTTACATCATTGCCATGTTTGGGCCACTGTTTTACAAGTGTTTTAATATTAGGGTTGTCTAAAAGTCTACACGCATTTCACATTCGAGTTATTTAAGGGCGCCCATCTCATTCTCTAAACGTTTCTTCAGGGATCAGATGGACACAGAACTTGAATGGAACCGTAGAGAACCACCAGGATTGCTCTGGTGTTTTCACTTGTGTAAGCCTGTGGGGTTCAGCCTCTGAGGGTCTTCAGTCTCCCCTCCAGAGTACCCTGCTCAGTGCCCTGGGAGCTGATCTGCATAGATGGCATCAGCCCCTCTCTTGGCTGCTGGCTTGTGGGTGGGTTCTGCTGTGGGAGGCTCTGGCAGGAATCAGAGGGCGAGGGTGAGACACGTGTTCCCTCAGCTCCTTCTCTGCTGGGCCCGTGGGTGGGCTCGCCCTCTGCTGAAGGCAGCCCTCCCCACACGCTGACTTCTCCAGGTTCCAGGAAGCTCTCTCTCCCTCTGCCCTTTCAGACCTGGGGGACCAGGGGCGAGGCGGTGAGATCCCGACTATCGGGATCCCATAGTCTCTTTTTGGCTTTCCTAAATCCCACCCTTACTTTGGTAAATAGTCTTTTCATTAACTGTTCTTTAAATGACTCAGTTTGAATGTGCCTGGTGTCTCCTGACTCATGCTGGGATCTTGAATCATATAGTAAATAGTCTAATATCTATGTTTTTTTCTAAATTTTTAACTATAATGCTTTCTGTGATTGCCATATTCAGGGTTTATTGTGCTTTGAGAAAGACAGTGACTTAAGAAAGCAGTTGTCTACACAGAAGGCCAGACTGTGCAGATCGGAGGCGACCAGTTCTCCATCTGTTACTCACCTGTGGCTCGTGCTCACCCCGGCGTTTGTAGATAGCTTTCTCTCCAGTCAGCCCTTCAATGATCTTGGCATCATCTAGCTCCCCAGTTGCTTGGTGTCTTAGCCACTGTCTCTCTTTGCCTTTAGCCTACAATGACACACACATAAATCCTTATTTTAATTCTTTCTGCAGGGTCCCTGACACACTTTGTGTATGAATAACAGGAAACACACCAGGGATCTTTTCAATAAGTGATGTTTTTGTATGAACAGTTTCATAATTGGACTGATTTCTGCTCTGCTGACTAAGAAATGCCCTTTGTGTGGGTTTTGTCATCTTAATTGTTTTAACATATGGGATGATACAATGAACTCACTTAAAACACACCAATGGGAAAACAGTATGTAAAGGACCTCCTGAGAAACGTGCAATATCTGGAAATGTAATGGCATTTCTTATGGATTTTTGGTCACCATACTACTAGAAAATTTATTAGGTAGCAGAACAATCAGCTTTAACTTTTTAACACTGTCTGTAAGCAGTGAGAAAAATGATCTTCGGAACTCTTCCTTTTGGAAAAGAAGCTGTAACTCAAGTTCTCTGTGCAAATGGGAACAGCTGAAAACAAGAGTACGTGCACATTTTGTACGCCACATGTCTCTCTGATCATCTATATTCATAAATCTAAAGGTATTTCCACATGATACTTTCCCACAATAACTTACAACTCTGCCAGGTGGACTAAGATGGTTGTTAAATGATAAAAAATTAAAATATCTTAATCAAGGCATAAGATTATAACAGCCACAGACTATACTTACATTAAAGAGTGGGAAGGAGAGCTAAAATGGTTTTATGCATGAAAACTGTAATAGTAATTAAGATCACGGGTTCTGGAATCGGACAGCCTGGTTTCAATCCTCCCTTCACCATGATCAGGTATGTGACCTCAACCACATTACTTAACCAGCCTGCACTTCAGTGTCATCATCTCTCAGATGAAGATAACACTGGTTTCTACTTTAATGAGTTATTGTGAAGGCCAAATGAGCTACTACATGGAATCAACTGAGAAAGGGCCTGGCAATCTATGTTAGCTGGTATTTTATTATTAGTAGTATCATCATCATCATCATCTTCATCACTGTCATTGTCATCATCATCAGGTGGGACACAGTATGACAACCAAGTCCACATTAATTTAAGCACATGTCCATCACTGCTACATTGGAGGTGGCTGTATGACAGGACTGCCACTGAAAATACAAAGCCAAGTTTCAGGCAGGCAGAGTCTATTTTAGGGCCAGACCAATCACCACACAAAGAAGCTCCACATAGTATAACTCTGCGTGGTATTGTGTGTTGTTTTCCTGTTCCTGATACCCTTGCTGCAAACAGGTACAAAATTACCATATTTGGATACAGATATATTAATGCAAACATAAAATAAAGAGAGGAACACTCCTAAGCCGCCAGCATAAAGATGCTGAATTTAGTAGGCAGTTATAACAATTTCAGGAACTACCAGGAATGTGCCCCTTGGGGGTATGCTCTTTCCTGCTGTGTGTTCTGGGTAAGAACCCCAGGACCTCACAGGAAAATGGAACTCACTGGAGCATAGCTCGATGAGCTCATGGAACTTGATAAGATATACAGCTCCAGGTGGTAGGAGGACAGGGAGAGCAGAGCCTTCCGGAACCCTTTCCCACACATGCTGTCCTTCTCAGGCCTCAGCCTGCAACAGTGACTGGGACCCAGCTCCTGTCTCCTCTTTCCCGTCACTCCTGATGTCTGGAGTGGATAATTCCCCAGGTTTCCAGGATGCTTTATGCTGGGAACCTGATTGTGATGACCATTTAGGTACCTTTCAATTTTGAGATTCTATGACTTTTGCAGGTACCTAACAGCAGAGCACCGGCTTCCATGGCCTTTTGCAGATGAGGACAGACTCTCATAGACTAGTCTAGGCTGGGAACTGCAGAAAGTACAGGGAATGTGGTAGCAGCAATCAGCGGCCATCAAAGTGGCATGGAGGTTGGATTCTACAGCTGGGTATAAGAGGAATATGGGATAACACGACATGTTATGAGATTATATGACATGTTACGTGACAGCTGTGTCACTGCTATCATCAAGCCTTGATTTTCCAAGTGTGATCAATTCATTGACAAGGCAATGATGACCCTGAGGACTCCCTGCCCAATCCACTAGCCACTACATGGTTTTATTAATCAGTGATGCTCCCACTCTATAAAGAACCATTGCAATGGCTACAGATTAAGTAATCTTTGCTTTTTAATGCAGATTACAACTGTAGTAAAAATAAATTAAAACCCTCACCATCTCACCATTGAGGAACTGTAAAATGCCAAAATTTTAACTAATAATTCTATTCCCTTCCCCATAGTTTGGTGTTTCTGAAAACAAAATATACTTTCTAATTGATGGCAAAAGAAACTTGCCAAGGTTAATAGGCAGAGGGGTTAATTGTGACCTGGTTGTCATACCTGGAGGACATACATATGACCTTGGCTGAGCATAGCAGGTATAAGCTCATTGAATTTTTTCCACTGGCAGCCCAATTGTAGTTTGAGTTAAAATTCCTAATTATTATGGTAAATGGATTAAAAAACATGACACTACAATAGAGCATAGAGCATTGAGTAATGAGTAATGAGCAAAGACATGGAGCCTTAGGATACAAATATACTATAAGTCAAACAAGGTTCTTTGCTGCAGAAATGGCCCCACTTCTGATAAGATTCCCTGAAAAGAGGAATGTGGGTTTAAATTTGTGAGGGGGACATGCACAGAGGACTGAATGTCACAATCTGAGCCCTGTAATTAAAGAGAGGAGACACCTGTACATTTCATAAAATAGATCACAGCATTCTTAATGCTAGCAGAAGTTAGGGAGACTGCTTCATGTACTATGAAGAATTATCACCCAGAGACTGTATTCCTGTCCAGGAGTTCAAGGGAAGCTGTTAAATTTCTAGTCACATGTAATTCAATTAAGCACAATATGTAACTCTCAGGTAAACCAAACAGTAAGTGTAGAGAATATCACAGTTTTTGATAAGACTAGAGATTATACTGTCAGTCCCAAAGGAATTAAAGAGGTCTGGATCACGAACATGGGTTATTAAAAAAGAAACAATAAAAAGGATTATGTCACTCTCTAGCACATTACTCTGTTTTACTTTCTTCATACTTATCACCGTTTACAAATGTATTATTTATCTCTTTGTTTCTATTATCTACCTGCTCGCCTAGAAAGTAAAGGTCATGGGATAAGAATCCTTATGTAACTCCAGCATCGACAACAGTGCTTGATACAAAGTAGGTTTCAATGAAAATGTATTGAATGAAAGGTGATTGCTTACTGTGAAATGTTAAGTGATGAAAGTATGACATGAAAGCATGTATGTACAGTTTCATCTCAATGTACATGCATGTATATTACACACATACAAAGAAATATGTAGGAGAAATTAAAAATGTGAATAGTCATGGTTGCTTTTGCGTTGTGGAATCGGGTGATATTGTTTTCTTCTTTTATTTTCTGTATTTTCCAATTTTCATATAGTGAACTTGTGACTTTTACAATTAAAAAATTAACAAAAATAAGTTCTTCTTTTTTCCTCAAAGGGATTAAAAAATCCTTTTATATTTTAGGAAATATGCCCTTGAGACCAGCTTGGCGGTTATGGAGAGCAGGGCTTCTCAAACTTCAATGTGCATACAAATGAGTTAGGGATCTGGTTGAAATGCACTAACGAAAGCCTGGCCTCTCTCTGAAATTCGCTTCCTACCACAAACAAGCTACTAAAAACGGTGTCGAGATCTCCTTGTCAGCACAGTGATGGCTGCAACCCCCCAAACGAACTATGTACCAAACTTCATCTTACTAAAAAAATCTATCAAGAGAATGAGAAGACAAGCCACAGACTGGGAGGAAATATTTGCAGAAGACATAACTGATAAAGAGCTGTTATCCAAAATATACAAAAACTCTTAAACCCTAACACTAAGAAAAGGAACGACTTCATTGAAAAATGGGGAAAAGATCTGAATAGACACCTTACCAAAGAAAATATACAGATGGCAAATAAGCATATGAAAAGATACTTCACATCATATGTCATCAGGGAATTGCAATGAGGATGAGATATCATTACACACGCATTGGAATGGTTAAAGTCCCAAACACTGACACCACCAAATGCTGGCGAGGATGTGGAGCCAACAGCAAGTCTCATTCATTGTTGGTGGGAACGCAAAATGCTACGGTCACTTTGGAAGGCAGTCTGGCAATTTCTTACAAAACTGAACATATTCCTACACCATTCAACTCAGCAATAGCACTCTTTGGTTATTTACCCAAATGAATTGAAAACTTATGTCCCCGCAAAAACCTGCAGATGGATGTTTATAGCAGCTTTATTCAAAACTGCCCAAACTTGGGAGCAACCAAGATGTCCTTCAGTAAGTGAATAGATAATTAAACTGTGGTACATGCAGACAATGGGATATTATTACGTGCTGAAAAGAAATGAGCTATCAAGCCATGAAATGAAATGGAGGAAACTTAAATGCATATTACTAAGTGAAAGAAGTCTATCAGAAAAAGCTACCTATTATAGGATTCCAACTATATGACATTCTGGAAAAGGCAAAACTTTTGGAACTTATGGAAACAGTAAAAAGATCAGTGGTTGCCAGGGTTTAGGAGGAGGGAGCACAGAGGATTTCTTGGGCAGTGAAAGTACCCTATATGATGCCGTAATGATGGATACATGTCAATATCCATTTGTCCAAACCCATAGAATGTACAACAGCAAGAGTGAACCATGATGTAAACTATGGACTTTGGGTGATAATAATGTGTCAATTAAGGCTCATCAATTGCAACAAATGTCTATTGGGAGATGTTGATAATGGGGGAGGCTGTGTGTGTGTGTGTGTGTGTGTGTGTGTGTGTGTGTGTGTGTGTGGGGAATATAGGGCAGGAGATATATAGAAACTCTCTGCTCAATTTTGTTGTGAATCGAAAACTGGTTAAAAAATGAAGTCTGTTTTTTTAAAAATCTAGTTGTAAATATAATGATAACTCTACTGTGCAGAATCTTTTTTTTGTTTCAGGA